GGCTGTCTTTGTAAGCATATCAACAGTGTCATGCCTTGAGATGCCAACATGTGATGGTATCCATAGGAATTTAATTTCAAATCTGTTTTCTTTAGCAGCTAAAACATTCATTCGTATATCACTTGACTATTTTCTGGGTGTCACTATGTGCGTTCAGTGCCAGGAGTGCACTCTGCGAGTCACAGTATATAAGTCCACTGCCTTTGTCTTTTAAAAATTCAGTGGCAAGGTATATGCCTGCAAGTTGGGATTGAGTTGTACTTGCCCAGTCATTGACGCGCTTCATTGCTGTATGTACGAGAGAAGATTGTTCAAATATATTACATGCACATCTGGTACATCTTCCACCGTCTTCTACAGAGCCGTCGGTATAGCACTGATACACCTCTACCCATAACCTGAGGACTCTCAGTGATGCTACACAATTTTAACTGTTGTAATAATGTAGAGTGTACAATATCTTAGTTCCAGGGGCGGCAGGATCACACCTGCTGCCTCACACCCACACACCTGCTGCCTCTGGGAAAAGTCACAGGCATCGCAGCAATATTTCTGCTTCACGCACGTGTGTTGTTGGTTGCTAGGTTCCGGCATTCATGCAGTGAGGACACTGCCGGAACAACAGTGGACATCTGCAAAAGAAAACTGGATTAGTTTTCATCAGTAAGTGCCGAACCAACCGGGCTGTGATGGATATGTAGGCCCGCGGGCCGCTCCAAGCAACAGCCTGTTGGACCAAGTTCTCACACGTCAAGCCAGACCGGGCTTGGGGAGTAGAACAACTCCCAGAACCCCCATTAAGCAGGTACACCCACATGCAGTGTTGTCCTTGTGAGCTCTACAGTCCTAGAGGGAGGTGGTAATAGACGAGAGGAAATGTGGGAGACAATGGACAAAGTAGAGTTGACGGTCATCGTCCCATATGACCAGCCCCGCCCTCTCCACAACCCTCCTCCTAACTCAGTACCGGAAATGGGCGACCACATGATGGTTTCCGATGATGATATCGGTGCCTCAACCCTCCCCTCCGGGACCACCAGTCACAAGAGACTTTATTCCTTAACCAAAACAGCCTTAACCTTAACAGGGGGAGCCGGTCGGCCGAGCGGACAGCACGCTGTACTTGTGATCCTGTGGTCCCGGGTTCGATCCAGGGCGCCGGCGAGAAACAATGGGCAGTTTCTTTCACCCTATGCCCCCGTTACCTAGCAGTAAAATAGGTACCTGGGTGTTAGTCAGCTGTCACTGGCTGCTTCCTGGGGGTGGAGGCCTGGTCGAGGACCGGGCCACGGGGACATTAAAGCCCCGAAATCATCTCAAGATTATCGGGGCTTGATGAGATGAGATTCTTGGTTATCTCAAGATAACCAAGAATCATCTCAAGAAGCCTCTCACCTCCCTTATATCAGTGGCGTGAAGAGGGCAGCAAGGCAGGTGTCTACGTAACGCTGTTACTCGGCAGAAGTATATCGGAAACACACGTTGCTCCAGACCCAGGGCATAAACTGAGGGGGTTCAGCGACGCGTAAAATAATTGGAAATTGGAATGATAGAGAACAATCATCATATTGGGATGTATATGTCACTTTTTATGGGAACCTCCTACCCCTCTCCCTGACCGTGCACCCCCTGCCCTCCCCTCCCCCCTCCCCTCCCTGCATAATGTGCAGCTTCCTCAACATCCTGCTGATGAAGGATACAACAATGTCTTACCCAAATAAATGTGCGGTTGCAGAGGGGGAGGGAGGCATTTTATGTTCTATTTGAAAATAAGGAAAATCGCTATGCCTGTTAGGCAAATCGGGCCTAGCTTACTAGCCCAAGTAGTGCATTTCCGGTTATTAGCTAATTAGAATCTACTAAGGTAGATCAATGTATTATTAGATCATTGACCTAACTGTTTTATATATACATATATATCAACGCACACGGTGAAGTTATTTGATGAAAATGATCTGTGCCAGTTGGCCACAGAGTGCTGTTAGGGTTTGGGTTATAAGTCTAACAATATTCTAACCTCTAATATTCAGATGCTGTCTGAATATTAGAGGTCCACCGTTGTTCAATACTCAACCAGCTAGCATTAAAAAGAATTCCGGAACAAAGGTGGACTTCAAGAACTAATTAGATAAATTCTGGCAAGAAGTGCCTGATCAACTAGGCTGTAGTGGATATGTGGGCCTGCGGGCCTCTCCAAACAACAGCCTGTTGGACCAAGTTTTCGCAAGTCGAGCCTGGCCTCAGGCGGGGCTTGGGGAGTAGAAGGATCCAGAGATCCTCCCCAGGCGTGGTACTGGTATATATATAGTGTAGTTGTTGTTGTTATAGATTCAGCTACTCGGAACAGGTTCCAAGTAGCACGGGCTATGGTGAGCCCGTATACAGTGTAGGCGTGATGCGGGTATTTATATAGCTGTAGGCGTGGTGCGGGTATATATATAGCAGTAGGCGTGGTGCGGGTATATATATATATATATATATATATATATATATATATATATATATATATATATATATATATATATATATATATATATATATATATATATATATATATATATATATATATATATATATATATATATATATATATATATATATATATATATATATGTCGTACCTAGTAGCCAGAACTCACTTCTATGCCTACTATGCAAGGCCCGATTTGCCTAATAAGTCAAGTTTTCCTGAATTAATATATTTTCTCTAATTTTTTTATTATGAAATGATAAAGCTACCCATTTCATTATGTATGAGGTCAATTTGTTTTTATTGGAGTTAAAATTAAAGTAGATATACGACCGAACCTAACCAACCTTACCTAACCTAACCTAACCTATCTTTATAGGTTAGGTTAGGTTAGGTAGCCGAAAACGTTAGGTTAGGTTAGGTTAGGTAGGTTAGGTAGCTGAAAAACAATTAATTCATGAAAAGTTGGCTTATTAGGCAAATCGGGCCTTGCATAGTAGGCATAGAAGTGAGTTCTGGCTACTAGGTACGACATATATATATATATATATATATATATATATATATATATATATATATATATATATATATATATATATATATATATATATATATATATATATATAGCAATAGGCGTGGTGCGGTTATATTCGCAGCGTAAGGCACATTACCAATAATCAGGTAGTACAACCCATCCTCGTGTTAGTACTTTGTTGTAACTGTGGACCATTGTTCATATATTGTTGTATTGGAGATTGTAGAATTTGGTGCTATTCACTTCATAGAATATGGAACAAGTTATTTAAAACCAACTTAAACATTCCTGTGCCTAGTATATCACAAATGTGTACTATATTAGTTCTCAGCGTGTAATTAGGCCTAGGATAGTTAGGCTAGTTTGAGTTAGGTTTCATTAACATAAGTACAAAACCTTTTCTGGTTTGTCCGAATTCAGTAGTACCAAATTCTATTTTCTAATTGACCATTACGTCAATACCTCTACGATGGTCCCCATCGTTACTATAAATACTATTATAGTACTTGTGACGATCAATTTTTTACTGCTGATTCTTCCCGCTAGAAAGTTACATCACATCACATCATTGCCAAAAGAAAAAGCCGAGGATAAGTGTGAGTGCGTCAGTAGAGTGAGTGGCTGTAGACGGTGGGAGCTGCACAGAGCAGTATTCCTGCCAGAGTGTAAGCTTATAATCACAGCGAACGGCTGCCAGCTCCCAGCTCCGGGTCCTTAGCACTCTCACTACCACACCACAACCAAAATACATGTGACTCGGCGCTATACTACATCCTGCACTATTACCACGCCATTATATACATGTTAATCACCATGTCTGTCTCTGTTAATCATTCTGTGTCTAATGTAGGAGTTAAGTTCATAACACGGGACGACAAAGAAATTAACGAAATCCTAGAAGAAACAGTATGAAGATCTGTTTAGCACCTCGATGTGCAATATGAGGCCATGTTTAGCACCTCGATGTGCAATATGAGGCCATGTTTAGCACCTCGATGAACAATATGAGGCTGTTTAGCACCTCGATGTGCAATATGAGGCTATGATTTGCACATAAATGAACATGAGGCTATGTTTAGCACCTCGATGAACAATACGAGGGACCATGTTTAGCACTCGATGAAAATTTTAGATCCGGACAGCTTCTTTGTGAGCAATATCCAAAACTAACAATATTACTGATTATCAACACGAGTACAACAGACTTTTAAAATCTAAATTTACAACGTCCCATGCACTCAACCCCGGCCACCGACTCCTGGAAACCCATATTTATAAACAAATATAAAGTATCAGTAACATGAGCATTCAGAGTAGAATGGAGAAAAGGTTCGGATATAGTGAGATACCAAAAGCACTTAAATCAGCAGATATAGCTCTACTACACAGCTGGTACATCCCTGTACCAGTACATATTCCTGTGCAGAAACCTGTATAATTGACAGTTGAGAGGTGGGGCTAAAGAGCTGGGGCTCAATTCGGTGACTACACGCACGCACACACACACTTCGGTAATTACACACTAATATGTATACTATAAGATAGAATGTCTGTCCAAAGTTGGAAGCCAAATGCTTTAGGATAGTCTCATCCAAATTTAAAGGGGAAATGGTCTGGGGTACAGGACGCTCATAGGCTCTATATAATATAAAGTGATGAGTGTGAATTCATTCGGATTACAGTATTACATTTTCTGAGACAGTGTGAGAGGTGGAGGAGGAGGTACAGAGGGATGTTGAGGAAAGAGGGATGGGAAGATAGGAAAGGAGTGGAAAGATAGCGAAAGAGAGGGAGGGGGGGGGGGTGAGAGGGAGAAAGAGTAGAGGGGGGGGGGGTGAGAGGGAGAAAGAGTAGAGGGGGGGGGATGAGAGGGAGAAAGAGTAGAGGGGGGGGGGAGGGTGGAGCGAGACCCGGGCGCTGTCGGGTACTCCGTCTAATATGTATGTGCGTATGTGTATCTTCGAGGATCTCTCGCCAACTTTCTCATGTGTTCCAGAGTGTGATCAAGATGTCTGGGTTTCGGAGCCTGGGAGACGAAGAGCCCGTGGAGTTCGAGTGCAAGGTCTCTGATAAAGGTCTGGAGGCGACGACGGTGACGGGGCCGGGCGGGGCAGAGTGCCGAGGATCACACAGGCGACCCATCAGTAAGAAGCGCTTCCGGAAAATCAGGTATGTCATATGGGATCACCATTTTCTCTCAACTTGTAACAAATATGTCTCCTGTAGTTAATTGCATTATAGCTAGGCTTAAATGAGGTTGTATTGAAGATGAATATGATTAGGTGTAGCCCTTGGGGGCACTTCATGGACAGATCAAATGGAGAAAGTTATTCAAGGATTGCAGAAGTATAAAGAGGAAATTAAAGAAACATGCACAGGTTATAAAAGAAAAAGAAACCATCAAAGAAGTGTGTTTGGAAGTCAAGAACAGGAATGAGCAGCAATAATCAAATATTAGGCAAGCAATTAGGATGGAGCTTGTCACAAGCAGTAAATTAGAACAAAACACTGTGGATAAAAGTAAGTCCATATTTTTGGGGGAGCATGGAAAAGATAACATAAGGGGGGGGGCAGAGTAGCAGAGATAAAAAAAAATAACTGAGAAAATAGTATGTTTAGTTGAAGCCTCACATCAAAGGAAAATGTCTGTGATTTCATCAGGCTGGAGAAATGTCACTAGTGGAGTGACTGCAAAAGGTGCAAAAATGTGCAACAAAATGGCTTCTAGAACTGAAAGGCAAGAGCTACGAGGAGAGGTTAGAGGTGTTAAATATGCTAAACCTAGAAGATAGAAGAAAAAAAGAGGCTATATGATCACTCCGCACAAAATTGTAATGGAAATCGACAAAATTTATAAAGAGGAATGCTTGAGACCTGGAACGTCATGAACAGGAGGTCATAGATTTAAGCTAACTAAAAAAAGCTGCTGAAAAACATTAGAAAGTTCACTTTTGCAAAGAGAGTAGAAAAGAAAGTACGCGGCTGGAACAAGTTAAGTGAGAAGGTGGTGGAGGCCAAAACTCAGTAGTTTCAAAAGACAGTAGTTTATATGATAGAGTACTGGGAAGACGGGACACCATGAACATAATTCTCGCCCTTATCTGAGACTGCCCATAGTAGGAAAACAGCATGTAAAGGATTTTGGAATAATGATGTCTGATGACCTAACGTTTAGGGAGCATAACCAAGCAAATATTGCGTCAGCCAGAAAAATGATAGGGTGGACTACGAGAACTTTCATATCCAGAGATCCCATAACAATGTTGTACTCTTCAAATTACTTGTGATATCCCGGCTTGAGTACTCACTTTCTCCTTCAGAGCAGGAGAGATTGCTGAAATAGAGGGAATACAGGAACACATGCGGCATACATAGACCCGATAAAGCACCTAAATTATTGGGATCGTCTCAAAGCTCTCCAAATGTACTCACTAGAAAGGAAACGAGAGAGAGGTCAAATAATATATATATGGAAAATATTGGAGGGCCAGGTCCCAAATCTGCATAGTAAAATAACATACTGGAGTGAACGATATGGAAGAAAATGCAGAATAGATCCAGTGAAGAGCAGAGGTGCCATAGGCACAATCAGAGAACACTGTATAAACATCAGAGGTCCACGGTTGTTCAACATCCTCCCAGCGACTATAAGAAATATTGTCGGAACAATATTTCTGAAACAGAGGAGAGATGATATACTGAGATGGATGACAGATTGATGATTGACGGATGAGAGGTAATAATCCGGCAACCCGGGTGTGGTTTCCGGTTACCCCATTCCTCTTGATGTGTGATTATATGGTTTAGAGGCACCCCTACACTATGAGATGGGTGACAGATGGATGAGCAAGACGGATGAGCGTGTTTAATTGCATGCTAGGCAATCCTGATGCGGTTTTTGCAGTTACCCTCAAGGGGGTGGATAATGTGTATTGAAAGTGTGCGTTTAGAGATCGTAGATTTGTTTACATCCGTGTGTGTGTACAGGTGCTGAGATGATGATAGATGGATGATTGATGGATGAGGTGTGATAATCGCGAGACCCGGGTACCCCGTCCACTCTTAGACCTGTGTTACTAGTTTTAAACAGTAGTATTTTGTATGTAATACTCTCCTTTTCATTTGGTATACTGTATAGCCATAAGGACTTGAGGCTTTCTCCTGATAGTTCCATTGCAGTATAGAGACACGTAGTCATGTGTGTTTTTCGGTTATACTCTCAGATTTACAGTTACAGTCCTGTCTCTGGAGCGGATGAACACCAGCAATCACAGGCTGTTAGCAGTGTGTCTGACGATCATTGTCTCACCATCGGTTACTATGAGCCCTAGCAAGTTAGGTGAGGTGGTGGTGGAGGCGAAAACCGTCAGTAATTTCAAAACTTTAGATGACAGAGTACAGTACTGGGAAGATGGGACTCCACAAGCGTAGTAGTTTACTATAAAATTTATGTAGTAATTTCTATAAAAACGTTGCCTGTCTGGGTTGGAACAATTGTCATAATATTCATTTTCTTGGTGTAATTTTTTTTTAATAAAATGAAGGTTTTTGATCCATAATATCTATTTTTTGCATTGTGAATTGTACTTACCTGTCTTGTCATGTAATATTTAAAATATTGCGAAGTACAGTATTACAATTGCATGTTTATAGTTGAAAATAGATACAAACGATAGTTGCCCTGTTACCATTTATCTTGATAGTAGAGAATAACTTCCTTTAAACTGGCCTTGACCTCTGTCCTTGTTTAACCAGCAAGATATCTTACTAACACACATAATATCTTGGATTTCATGAGGTGTTACAACTGTGGAGAGTTTGCCAACCACGTCGCAGCTAAATGCACAATGGGTCCCCAACCTAAACGGTGTCACTACTGCAAGAGTGAGGACCATCTCATAGCTGACTGTTCACAGCGCCCAGAGAAGGTAACATTTATGTTCACACTACGGTATTTTCTAGCTGTGCTTGTGTGTCTTTCTCCCCTCCTCCCCAGCATCTCACCTTTTCCTTTCACTCTCCTCCCTCTGTCTCTCCACCATCTCCTTCTCAACATCCCTCTCCTATTATTAAAAACTAATTAAAAAAAAAAACTCGACCCCCATTTCAGACTTCATAGGAGTTGCTGGGATTCAAAATAGCTGATCCTTCTTAAAGAGGGGCATGGGGGTTGCCCTGACTATGACACTCCACATACAATGACAAATCACCATGCAAAGTTCTGTGCAGCCAGCCCCAAGTGTCTGGCCTCCAACTTTGGAAAGGCAAACAGATGCTCTCTATTATAGCCATAAACTATCGTATGGCGTTTTTGATGAGAAGAAACTTAACGAATTTAGTATACAATTTCATATTACGGGCACAGTACACCCATTTCTGGTACTGTATCCAGTACTATAATATTGTGAGGCACAGTACACCTTTTCTGGTACACAGTACTGTATTGTGGAATATGTACATAATTTTAATTGATTGTCTTCTTCATCAGGGCCGTGGAAACGACGACCCAGACTCTGAACTGGGAGAGACTAAGGTTTAACAGGGAAGAAGACAAGAGCTTGTTAAATGTACTTACAGTACAGATATCTTACAAACAATTGGAAAATATACCATGACAATTAAGTAAAATTATATAATACAGTACATATATATGTATTATATACACATACATGTGTGTATATATTATATATATATATAAATATAATATATATATATAATTATATATATATATAAATATAATATATATATAATTATATATATATATATATATATATATATATATATATATATATATATATATATATATATATATATATATATATATATATATATATAATAATTATGTATAAATATAATATGTATATTGTTGAATATGACCAAAAGGGTAAGATTAATGATTCTGACAAGAATCTTCTCAATATTTCTCATGTTTTTCTTCACTGTTGAGGGTAGTTGTAATATTGTCTTTGAAAATGTAAGAAATGTCTTGTGAAATGCGTCCAAGACGTCAGACCACAAACTGTGAAAATGAACTTTGGAGAGTTAATTTTTCAACTACCTTCAGCAGTGAAGAAAAACAGGAAATATTGAGAAGATTCGTGTTAGAATCATTAATTTTACCCTTTCGGTCATATTCAACAACATATGTTTACAAGAAAGACTGCTACCAAAATATACTATATATTTTTAAATAGGGGTACCACCTCTGGTTGCACTTGTGGAGACCCTCGACCTCAAAGACGACGATATGCAACATCCGGGGGAGCCTTATGGGGCACCCTGCGTACACTCACATATTGTCCTCTCCTACACCCCCTATAATTTTTGTACTTTGTCATATATATATATATATATATAAAATATCTAATATTGTATAAAGTATCTGATCATGATCATACACACGTAGAGATGACGTGGACATTCACGCAGTGTACATTTTGTTGGTGTTGAATATACACTGATGAGCTAATACAATGAGCTGAGTGAGTGTAGCCTGTGCAGTTACTGGATAAGGTGATTCTTCAGTGCTGCACACAAGAAATTATGAGTTTATATATAAGAGTCAATTTTTTATTGGCTATTATTTGCTCAATTAGTCACATAATGTTATAAGTTTGTCCACACATGTTTGGTGTACAAATATGTATTTAATGTACCGGGTATTGTATACAATTTTAAACCAAGCATTTTGTATAGTGAAAACTAATTGTCTCAGGCAGCAGTGTATTTTAAATATTTCAGGCATAGGTTTCGTCCATTTAGAATATAAAATTCTTACGTAGTTTTGTGCTGAAAAGAGAATAACTATTATTACATTTGTTAAATAGTAAGAATTGAAGGTCAAACAGATGTTTGAATAATTTGATGTGCATATAATAATCATCCAGAAATGTAAAGTTTGTTCTTTACACTTTTTCGTACAAAACTGTTTCACTATCTTAAAGGCAGATTTTATTCCAACAGTTAAGACATAATAGGGTATCAGTAATTTCCAGCAATCACTGCCAATGGTCATATTTTGGTCAGGCTTGGCCCACGATCTGCACACTGCTGCTCATGAATAGAATCAATTTTGTTGCGACTGTAGGAAATTGATGAAATGGGAGGTGAAATATGCAGTGTATTACATTGTTAGTTGCCTATAGGTAATGGAAACAAATACTTGTGTATGTCAATGAGAAATTATCAGCAGTATTTTTTAAGCTAATAGTATTGTTATAATTATTATTAGTATTGTTACAAAATTTTGGCAGTGACTCCAGCATCGTCCTGGCAGTGGGCAGTATTGTTTAGACTGATATTTATATATCAAAGCTTATGCACATCACTTGTAGAGTAAATATAACGATACAGAACTTCATAATTACATCCAGTATATTATAAAGTTCATAAATAAAAGTTGATGGAATAAGCCACAAGCCTTAATTTTGAATTATGCCTTGTATTATTAGTAAAATATAAAGCAAACATAATGAAATGTTGTTATTTATTAGTTTAGCTTTTTACCACAGGATAATATAGAAAGCATTTCTATATTTAGATTACCATTAGATGTGTTAATACTTCTTAAACAGTTAATATTAAAAGTAATTATCATTAATATTATTTCATACTATGCAAGTGACAGAAGGGCAAATGCAATAAAGATATCAAGCCTTCATTACCATTACAATATACAGATGTACAGTACCATGTTTAAAATAGCACAATGTACACTTTACAATATTTTGTGGTATTGTAAGCTAGGAAAATAGATCTTAAGCTGAAAGGTTCAATACGTTTGTTGGTGAATGTCATTGATTCATTATTTAAACAATTACTGTATTGTGGAGTTGAAACAACTTTTTTTCCCTTCAGTAAGACTCAAGAAATTATTAATTTATTTATTGGATTTATTTAATTTAATATATGAATATAAACAAATATTAAACAGATTAAGTCTCATGTAAAAAAATCTAAAACTGTCCATGCATACGGGTATCTCTACTAGCGTGCGACAGAACATGTATAGGATCCCAGAGCACTGTGTTACCAGTTCCCAGATGTCACAGGCTGGCCGAGCACTCTGGTTACCAGACATCACAGGTTGGCCGAGCACTCTGGTTACCAGACATCACAGGTTGGCCGAGCACTCTGCTTACCAGACATCACAGGTTGGCCGAGCACTCTGGTTACTAGACATCATAAACGCCCAGAGCTAGATGGTTACCAGGTGATTCAAGATCTGAATGTTGAGAAGTAAAATCCACGTTTATTAACAATATGAAAGAAATGAACAGACACAGTTGTATCTACATTTTAGTCACTAGACTGGATTGACCCAATAAATGAACTGAAGTCACATTGTTCTTGGTGTTGTACATATTTAAAGGTTTTACTAGGGACTGGAAATTATGAATTATATAAATTACTAAGGATAATGGCAGTAATGATAGTATTATATTATTTTTCAAATAATAGTTCATATCTGAACAGTGAAATTGTTCACAAGCAGAGAGTAATTAACCTTAACATATCTTTACAGCTCGTTGCATTATTCCATAATTAATATTCGCACCAAGTATTTTTCTGGGGGGGCCCTCGTTTTGGCTACCTGTAACTTATCTCGCCGAGATTACTCCATACTACACGTAACATGAGTCACAGGAGTTGTATTTGCTCTTCCAGAGAGCCAGAACCTAGTCATCCATCATACGGGCACAAATGACAGTTCAGCATTTCACCAAGAAAGCATACAAAAAACTGGAGAAGCTGTACAGTCAACTGCTGGGTTCAAAAGGTGCATTGCATCGAAACATCCAAATAACTCCTCAAATGAAACAAACTACTGATAATTTATTAGAAACTAGCTTAAACCCATTAATACCAATCACCACCACCAGGTGGCCTGGAACTTTGGTCTCTGCCAGCTCACCAGCCAGTTCTGTAGCTGATGTGCTACCTAGTGCATCACAGTAGTAGTACTCCATGGTTACCATCTTTCACAGCAGGTCCCAGTACTGTCAGCCATCCTAGGACCTATCCTGTGGGGGCTATTTGATTGTGTACTATTCCAATATAGTACTATTCCGTAGTGTTGAAGTCTGGCTAGCCTGCAGTCTATGGCCGTGCCCATGACCACAAATACAACTCTCGCAGAGGTCTTTTCTAATATGTCTTGGGTGACTATTCGAGCTTAGGAATTTGAGGGTCATGGCGGCTAGGTTTTAATCAAGTGTCCTTGGTCCTCATAGGTCCTGGGTTGCCCTGGGTCCTGTTTCCCAACTGTTGGTCTCTCCTCCTCCCTGGTGAGTCCTTTATTTTTTTCTCTATGGTTATTTAACTACATGAAGCCCACCCAGTGTTGAATGTAATGAAACATCTCATTTGGGTAGAGTCCTGGTGGCTACCTATCTCCCTGCCTTCCAGATTTGTCAGGTCATTGGGGTGGTCAATCATCCTGTCCTCTTACAAAGAAAGTCTCATTTCAATTGTATGCATTATAGAAGGCCAAAAATTGTTGTACTGTACTAGAAAATGAAAACAGCTCGCGAAAGTGACAAACTGTCTCGTTTTCTGTTTTGGGTCCTCTGGTATTTTAAGAGTAGACACTTTAATTTGACCATTTTCTTGACATTGGAAACCTTAGGAGGATGGGTTAGGTTTCCATCTGTTCCAGAACTGGCTGATGAGCTGGGGGAGGATCAAACTCCTGGCTGTCTGGTGGAAGAGATCAGTACTAATGAATTCGAGTCAGTTTTAAGTGAATTAATTTGTTTCAGTTCAATCATTTCGAGAGTTGTTTGGGACTTTTGAGGCTTTGAGTTTTGTGAATCTAGCAGTTGTCTGTAAAATTGGCTGACTTTCTGGATGCTTTCCTAATGAGATGGTGGAATGTCATTTGCTCTCTCTGCATCTGTGAGGAAGGCCAGGTTCTGGCTCTGGTTTCTAGTAGGCCAGAACCTGGCCTACTAGAACTCCTGTGACTGATGTGACTTGTAGTATGGAGCATTCTCAGCAAGATAACCACAGGGAGGCACTGGGGCTCTTAACAGAAAGAGGTTTTTCATTACATTCAATGCTCCACTTTCCCCCAATTGTTTTTCCATTAATGTTTAATCTTTATTATTTATATAAGTTTCATAATTCACTGATCTGTGATGAGTTCATCATAAAATGTCAGTGATGAGTTTGTTCATCATACAATGATGTCAGTGATGAGTTCATTGTACAATGATTGGTAGGTGAGGAGTTATTCTAAAATATCATTAATGTCACAATATTTCCACATCTTGCAAATGTTTAGTTCCTTATACTGTACTGTTCTTTGACTTGGTATACAGTGACATTCACGCTCATGTCTAACAGTTATGTACTGAAGCACAGTCTTCTCAGTGATAGATTGCCTTAAGAATATTTGTTTGTATGATTAATATATATCACATTATAATCAAATCAAGCCAATTATACAAAATTATGTCAATCTATTCAAGAAAGATGTTCACTGATAAGTGTATGAAAAAAATATACAAACTTTGGCAAACTGTAAACAACTACTTTTAAACACAACAAATTTGCTCACTTTTATGATTTTAATTTTCATTTGCAATCTTTGCAAGTGCATATTTTTGATAACAATTACATTTATTAAAAGCTCCTTTGTAGGGGGTAATATAGTTAGCAAAAGTAAGCCATGTGGGATGGTGAAAGCAGGCTGTTATATACAAGTACAGTACTGTAATGCTTTTCAATAGTGTGCCAACAATAACTGATAAAACAGTATAGAATTTTCCTGTGTCTAATTTACATGAATAATAAGTAAAATATTCAGTTAAGTTTTATTCAGATTTTGCCCACATTCTGAAATATTTACAAAATTATACCCCATGCAAAATCCATAATAAATGAGCAAACTTTTCATATTCCACTAGGTGCAATTTCAGAATGCTGGCATTAACTGAGATATCAGGGAATAAAGATCTACAGTTCCTATGCTATCAGGGCTATTTTGCTTAGTGCAAGCGTTGGTGTCATCTGGTTGGCAGATGGACACTACAGGTGAACATGTATTGTCTTAAGAGCTGTAATCATGTATGAAAACTAAAAATAAGTGAATATATATAATGTGTCAGTGACTGGAGATGATACATAATATATATTATTTTGTTGTATATGTGAAGAATAACGAGTTGAATAATACTCCTGCCAGCTAGGAGGGATGTCATATATGTAGAGCAAGTCAACATTTGGCTTTACATCTATCAGTGCCGTGATATCCAGTGCCTGGTAAATCATGATCTTGAGTCAGCCATTCACAATGAATTTAAGAAAATTAATGCCAATATTATTAATTTAGTTTGTGTTTATTTTAGGACATACTGTATATAGAAGAGACCATTAGCTATGAATATGGACATTATGCATAGAAAACCCATTCACTCTCCCATACATTATATTATGTAGGTGTTTTGAACATGTGTTAGTAAAATGTACATGTGTATGCATGTGCACCAATTTGTGTTTTGAGAACAAATTCCAGCTCCTAGACTCTACCTCTTAATCATCTTCTAGGAAACTATTAAGTCATTACCCTCATGAAAATAAATTTCTTGTATCATATTTTTTTTATATATCTAGGTACAAGAGCAGATGACTTTTGACTCTTGTTGTCAGCTTATAGCTCTCCCTTCCCACATTTACTAGTTTTCCTTTGAACACAATCCACCAATCAGTTTACTACCAGGTCCCCAATTACTGCTGGGTGGAAAAAAAGGATTGTTAGGGTATATTGTTCTCACAGTTAAAGATTGGTGCCCATTCGTCTCTCCCTGACCAGGGCTCAAACTTGGCTGAAATCACGTGAGGCATAAGGTGAGTGCAGACTATTGCACCAGTGGCATCTCTGTATTATTTGAATGTTTAGGTCCCATTCATATTCCTTCAATCTGGTATCATCTGCTGCTTATGTGACCCTTCGTCGTGGAACCCAACTCTTATTTTCACACAAGGGGTAATGTCAACTTGTCTGTTATAAGTCTTCTTTTTTGTCATTCTTTCTTCTTCTTCCCCTTTTTTTGTTCCATTATTTTCACGACAGAAAAAACATTGGTACACATTTGAGCTTTCATTAGTGTTGTAATTTATGTGAGGAGTGAGTTATCTGTTGTACCACATAATCTTGTATTTATCTCAAGTTGAATTTGTGTATTTACTTGTCAGACCAGTCCTGCAGTTTATTCGTGCTGTAATGCTGGTGTTTCCAGCATTTTTTTCGTTTTCATTAATCATATCAATTGAAAACATTGATATGAAGGTGTTGACATCTAAAAGTAGGTCATTCATATATACTGGATAAAGTATCAAAAAACAGAATGCATCCAAGTTATCATCATTGGGGGACTCCCTATTACTTATCATTATCCTAAAATTGTTCTCACTTGTTTTCTGTATGTCAATACTTCAGTATGCAGTACAGTAACATACCAGATACCTCAGATTATTGTTCCACTTGTAAATTAGTTGACTGTAATGCAGCATGTTAAAAGCCTTTTTTGCACAACATCCACTTTTATCTTGCCTACCCTATTTCCCTTCTCTGAACCCCATATTGTTGTATTGGACTCTATGCTCTCCTAGTGGTCTGCGAGCATTTTCCTACACCTCTCATACATCGTCTTCCAGTTTCAGCATCTTTGCTATCATTTTCTTATTGAAATAGGTTTCTGGAAGGCCAGGGCCTCTGGACGGGAGGACTGGAGGGCCAGATCCCAAATCTACACAGTAAAATAACAACATACTGGAGTGAACAATATACAAGAAAATGCAGAACAGAACCAGTGAAGAGCAACGCTGCCATAGGCACAATCAGAAAACACCATATAAACATCAGAGGGCCATGGTTGTTCAACATCCTCCCAAAGAGTATAAGAAATATTGCCGGACCCACTGTGGACATCTTCAAGAGAAAACTAGATGGTTTTCTTCAAGAAGTGCGAACCAATTGGGCTGTGGTGGATATGTGGGCCTGCGGACTGCACCAAGCAACAGCCTGTTCGACCAAGCTCCCACAAGTCAAGCCTGGCCTCGGGACGGGTTTGGGAGTAGATGAACTTAAAGGACCCCATCAAGTATGTATCAAGCAGGTTTGGCAGTTAGCTCTCCTCCCCTCCTCCACTCGACCTGCTGCACTGTAAGGTACAGTATGTCTTTTAGTGCGCCTTCTCTGACTTTGATCTTTCTTTCAGTGTCGAGATTCATCGACTTCTCATCCATTTCTCTGTAAATTCTTACTCATTGCTTCATCAGTTCGTTTGTACATTTATCATCAGCTTTACTTGACTGGTTAGCTGTCACACCTTCATTTCTTTCTTGTTAATATCCCTTCCATGTACTCTTTTCGTGTGAAATATTAAATTTTTAATTAAAACTGGACAATAAAGATTTGGATTTACCAAGCTCTGAATTATCACATTTGAGTAAAAGTAATTACTTTGCAGGGTTTTTCTTTTTTACAACCTTTAAGTGTTTGTTCCAAAATAATTTTCATGTTAAATATTAGGATGAATATATTTAAATTAATGTTTCAGAGTTCCTGTAGTTCCAGTACATCAATATAAAAGTTATGATGAATTTAATATGTTATCCTTTTTGTCATTCAACTGCTAAAAGTAAGTTATAAAACATTTTGATTTAAAACTTCAACATTATATTAATGGCCAGATGTATGTGTAGTGTTTTTGTTTGTTTTTCTTCAGTAGAGACAGTTGTTTGTAGAGTAAGTTTGTTTTTAGCATTTTGATAATCCTCCAGGTTACAAATATGGAGCCAAAGTTCAGGTTTAAAAAATAGCAGACTAATTTCTTATTCCTTTTGAATCTGATGCTGAAAATTGTATCTATTCGTATAAAACTAATTTGTGACAAGAATGAATTTTTTACATAATGAATCATTCAAATTTAAAATAAGTCTACTAATATCTCGGTTCTTTAGTTTTGGCCCCATATTTAAGCAATGACATCACTTTCTGTAATATAATTTGGCACAATTAAGGACTTTTTTTTATATATTTAGAGAAATGCTTATGATTTTTCTGAGCTCGATAATCTTTTATAAGGGTATAGTTATGGAACTATGCCACACTGTATAGGTACTGTAATAAGTACAATGTTTTAGTCTTGGACAATTAAATTAGATACAAAATTTAGTCTAATTGCACATCACTGTTACTTTACTGCTAAAAGTGTACTCATTAGGTTATACATAATTCATGGTCTGTACAGTATATGTAATATTTTCCCCACATCTACCATTTTTCTCTGTACAGTATATGTATACTATGCTGAAGAAAAATGCTAGTAGAATTTTGCAGCTATTGTGCAACACACTCACATAGATATACAGTATATATAGTGATTGTTACCAAATGTCAGATATAAATGGTGATGTAACCCCATGCAAATAACAATACTGTATTTGTAATAGAAGATTAAAATATATTTATAAAAAAAATATATATATATACAGTATATATATTTTCCTCACAATGCAAGTCCCTCATACTTGGGACTTCCCACAAGCTGCCCAATTCTTCTTTGGGCTCTCATCTGGATTGCCAGGCCTTAAGTATTGATGTAACCCTTTGCTCTTCCAGGGAGTATCTGCAGCAATACATTGGGTATAACAAAGTGTCTTATACAAAGGAAACCCCAAATGAGCAGACCTGACAAGCTACAAACATCCAGATGGAATTACACTACTACACTGGAGGAATGGTAAACATGTTGTTTGGGGCTACACATATACATCTACACTGGTTAACACCTATCTACAGTACAGTGTATCTGAAGGTGGTGAGGCTTCCACTCTCAGGAAGATGCAGAAATGTTAGATTCTTACCAACAGGCTCAGAGACAGTAGGTGCTTGGGGTAAATGTGCACACAAGTTTCTGAAGTTGAGAAAAACTTGTTAGGCAAGCAAGAGACCCCAGGAGCAGTAAGTTAACCATTCTAGCACTTCAGTTGCAATTCAGAGGGAAAATGGCTACATGCCTGCTGTATCATGGGCATGCTTCTCACCATTGCAGAACTGGACAAGGTTCTTGAACAGTGATTGCTATGTATGTATTATGTAAGCTGTAAAAATGTTTATGGATGAATAGATCATTCGATACATCGGTCTGTTGATCTAAGAACCACAAAGGAAAGTAAAACGGGAAATACTTCAGTGCTATTAACACATTCTTGGAAGATAAAATATACAGTGGCACCCTCTGTCTAGTTTACATTGTCCTGAACTCAATTTGGATATTGCTTGAAATTATTTTCAGAAAACTTGAATTTTTTTGGCTATTATCAAATTTTTAAGAATCTTATTGAATGATATACAGTACTCATATTTAAACATACAAATAATATACAAGTAAATTATCAGAAGGCACCAAATCGGGAAGACTTACGTTGCGCCATCAGTGTCGCAGGGTATTCAAAAGGCACTAAATATCACCGATGATGCAAATACGAGAACAAAAGTGCACAATATCAAAGGTGTCAGATTCAAGGATTCTATCGAGGGATATTAGGAAAGCAAAGCACATGATCGTCCTTAAAGTCGGGATATTCCACAAGGAGATGCGTGACTAAGTGGGACAATACAGTTAGGAAAATAAGAAGCAGGGCGGTGTTTCAGTAAGTGCCCATGAGTTAAGTGTATGGCAAATACATAACCTAGCCAAAGCTGTTTACCCACCATCTATTACGGAGGTAGGAGAAGGGCCAAGGGAATAAGTTAACTTTTAAGAGTGTGTAGTTGACCTGTAACCACAGACTGAAGACCCTGCCAGCGGTCTCGGATGAAGGAACCAATGAGTGGGTAGAAATCCAAATAAGGCCTAACAAGCTAAATTTCCTTATACTATCTACTCTTGGTAATTTGAATTATACAGGGCCCACCCCCATTTGTGTTAGCCGAATTTCTTACATACCAGGCATGTCCAAAAATGAACGCATTTGCTATACAGTATTTTGTGTGGTTACTCCCACAGTTTACCTATTTACTCCTGCCATTTACCCAGGAACTCCTGTTGTTTTCCCTAGGTATTTCTGTCTTTTATCTGGCTGCTCCTGCTTTTACTTGAAAACAATGAATACAAATTTATTCACGTTACCATAATTCAAATTACCAAGCTCATACAGTACAGTATATTAAATGTTTAAAATAAATATTTTCATTTTAATAAACATGATGTGGAGTAATTTTGCTTGAGCCAAAACTACCATATCATCCTGACCTATTGGAATTATGCCTATTAATCCAAATCTTTGTGTAACTAGTCAAACTAAGCCTAGTAAGATGATGTTTAATTAAGGTTATCAACATTTCATAAAAATTTTTGATGAATTTTGACATGAACCAACTAACCTAGGTAGAAGACAAAACAAACCTTATCTAGTAGTGTGGATCACCTATTTTGTAAGACAAATTCTTATACCTAATTCATGACAAAGTATTTAAAAAAATTGCAATGCTTTTTCTTAACTGAATAAGTTACATTTTAATTAAAAACATACTACAAAGATTGTCAAATTATATTAACTTACATTATTCAATCCTGTGATGTATTATTTTCCTTAAATACAGGATTTACATAGGGAATGAACACTGTTGAGGCATTGTACAAACCACTTTCTGGGCTCGAACAGGTACAGATACCCAACCAGAAGGTTTTGGAGCAATTTTGACTAGATTATGCTGACTGTCCATTTTGTCTAAAATATTACATAATTTTTGAAGAAGTTCATTATTCTGTGACAGCAGCTGAACTACCTGCAATGGAAATAAACATAAGAAATACTGTATACAATATGGACTATATAGTATATATCCATATCCTATATGGACATGAACCATGTTTTCTAAAAAGTTCCAGACCAGCTGGGCTGTGGTGGGCCTGCGGGCCGCTCTAAGCAACAGCCTGGTGGACCAAACTCACAAGTCAGGCCTGGCCTTGGGCTGGGCTTGAGGAGTAGAACTCCTCCCAGAACCCCATCAAGCAGGCATCCATAAACTAAGAGTGAGAATATTTTCTTACATTGATAAGGATGTACTCATACTAGTATGCCTGCAAGTTTATAAACATGTAGAGGCCAACCTGCTTTCAAAACAGGTTGAGACTGAATTCTGTAATAGATCAAATGTTGAATACTGTACAAAGAAATGCTCTTTTCAAGTGGGGTACTCGGTAGTAGCTCCTAGAATTATACCACTGGTGTTGCCAAGCCTTAGAGACCCACAACAACCTCTTAGACCATCCCTAACCTGATTCCAGTGTAGGTGAGAGAAGAGAAAAACCTCGGCTCCTCTACTGCTTTTAATCCTAGGTTGTTTCAGTGCTTTAAGCAGCCAAGGGAATTGGGAAGCAGAATTCTCACTAGAAGAAAACCTGTTGACTGGAGAAACCAGCCAGCTGGTTTTCTGGAGAAAAACATGGAAGACGGCCTGGATTTAAGGCAAATAGCAAAATACTGGACCTCTAAGTTCTCACAGAACAATGCATGGAAACCTTTCCTCCATAATAATAATAATATAATAATAATAATAATCTTTATTTAGGCAAGGTACATACATAAAGAGATTTACAAAGTTTGTTGGCTTTATAGATAGAGCTAGTACATACAATGCCTAAAGCCACTATTACGCAAAGCGTTTCGGGCAGCATTGTTTCCATAGCATTGACAACAAGATATGGTAAAAGCCTAAAGTGTGTAACACAATCTTGCAATTGAAATGCAGCCTAGTTGGACATGTAACCAATGACAAACATCACACACTGAAGAGTGAAAGAACCTTTGTACCTAACAGGTGGAGCAAAAGAAGTAGCAGGTGTCATCATCAGTATCAACAAAAAAAAATCCCACTCTTGAATGCTGCAGGTAGAAAATCTGGCTCTGTACTGGCTGACAGATCTATCATGTCCCAACCAGTGAAGATACGAATTAGTAAAACCTCCCTGAAGTACAGAAACTGGCTGGCTGGGTTTAAGGAGACAATAGTTGACCTGCCAGGTGTGGTGGTAAACACTGTCTACTGAACACCGCACTCCGTCCTGGTGCACAATGAAAGAGGGGACACACAGACACAGGTGGAAGGATCAATTACAGCAACTCTCAATCTTGAGATTATCTTGAGATGATTTCGGGGCTTTTTAGTGTCCCCGCGGCCCGGTCTTCGACCAGGCTTCCACCCCCAGGAAGCAGCCCATGACAGCTGACTAACACTCAGGTACCTATTTTACTGCTAGGTAACAGGGGCATAGGGCGAAAGAAACTCTGCCCATTGTTTCTTGCCGGCGCCTGGGATCGAACCCAGGACCACAGGATCACAAGTCCAGCGTGCTGTCCGCTCGGCCGACCGGCTCCACAGGCATCAACAAATGCACAACTAATTACTTACTTCCTATAATCCTATGTTGATTTTTTCCCAGTCAATCCTCATATTATTAAAAGTGAATTTATTGAATAACCCCTCTCATGTCATTTTTTGGCCATATTACGAGTATTGATGTTAGTTTGCACTTCAATGAGCTTGTGATCTGAGTGCATGGTATCTGAGATTGTTCTATCCCTGGCCCTGCGGGCTGCTCTAAGCAACAGCCTGGTGGACCAAACTCACAAGCCAAGCCTAGATCAGATCTTCATTGTGTGTGAAGATCTGATCTAGAGTATTTCTGTTTCATTTTTTTCTCAAAGTATTGTTGATGATTTTGTTTTGATGTTTGACTTTGAGCAGTTCATTTCAGTTGTGAGTTGACCTCGTCTTTCTGAGGGGAGGGAAGGGGGCTAATATTGGTCTTGGCTCACAATCAGCCAAGAAATTTTCATCGTTTGCAGGTGACAATATTGGAGAGAGTGCCCAAGACTTCAGGAAGCTAATAAGAGGGCCTACACAGAAAGACAGATATAGAAGAAATCAAGATTTTATGTAAAAATGAGAAATATATTTCCAGACCTTGAATTATTAATGTGTAATTTTGTCTTAGTGGTACTGGGCAATTACATGACATCACCAGTCAAGAGAAAGGAAACTTATCAGGAGAAAGAGCCAAGTCATTATGACTACTGTATATAACACTTGGAAGGTATCCGGATAAGGATTTGTAATGGGACAGGGGAAAGGAATGGTGTCCAACCACTTGGATGATACCCTACACAACATTAATATTGACTTGTGCCAAAAATGTTAAAGCACTACTGTGACGGAGGTCCTTCCCAACACTTGCATAAACTTACCTGAGTATGGCGCTGTTCTTCAATAGCCATTTGTTTGGCCCATAACACTTCTTTTCTTTCAAAATACTTTTTAAACCAATCTGGGGCCTCTGTTTCTTTTGATGCTTCTGAGGGCTCTATTTGTCTCTTTTTCTTACTTGGTTTCCCTGAATCAAAGAATCAAACTTGTATGATGGTATACAATATATAATTCTTTTGCTCACAATTTAAATACTTCATATTACAGTATTTATCAGAATTGTAGGTGTTATGAAATTTTTGCTTGCATATAATTAGGAGCAACCGTTGTTGACTAAATTTTATACACTTCATATTTCAGTCGTGAGCCTTCACTGAAGTGCTCTGGAGGACACTTGCAACACACTCATATTAAATTCTTATAAACTCAGTATTTGACCAATTAAGTATATCCGAGTCCATGGCCCTCATTCCTAGAACAAAGTCTTTATACAGCATTACTAAAGCTTATAATATTAAAATATAGTCTAACTACAGTATTCAGTATTCCATAAATTTAAATATAAATTGACATATTTACCTTGTGTTAACATCTTGTCCTTAGTAATGGTAGCATCCCCAACTCCTGACTTCACAGACTCACCACACACCTGGTATAGAAAAAAACTTTCACCTTAGTATATATAATGAACATACTACAGTATTATGTACACATAATTGACCAAAACTGTGATTGAGTATTTTACTGTATATAGGCCTATAATGTTATATGTTCATCTATATTGCATGTAATCTCTTCTTGACAAGCTCAAGGAAGTGTCTTGTAACCTACTCCTATGCTGGTATTCTGTCAATAAACAATATCCAGAAACAGATTGAAACACTAGTGAGAAAGACCAATTTGTGATTTGACAATACAGAATACACAGGTCATTAATACACCATAACTTCATCGAATAGTAAGCCATACAAAATGATATCAGAATTTTGTCCTGGGTCTAGGTTAATTCCATTACATCCATGTGGTACTATAACCATATTCACATCATTTGTTCAAAACTGGGCAATAATTCAAAGATCATAATAATAATTGCATTAGTCTGGGAGTCTATGTATGAAAATAACAGTTTTTCAAGGGCTAACTGTTTGGAGGTGTTAAAAACCTTAAGCTTTGAAGGTAAAATAACAAAAAGTGAGCAGAAAGAGCCAACCTGGGATGAGGCAGCAGTAGAACAAGTGGGTGATACACAAGTCACAGAGGTCTCCAGAGAGCTGCCAGTCTTCCCACGAGCGCTTATCTTGAGAAATTCTGGCTCCAGGTGTTCCATAATTCTCTCCACACGTTTTTCCCACCATAGTCTTTGTGTCCTTTTACTCTTGCCCTACATAGGGCAAGACAATTTGTTAAATCCTACTACTGTACATCATGAAACATACTTTACTGTATTTACAAGTTAGGATTGATCATAATCCCTCTCCAAATTGTTAGTAATGCGGGGAGGCCATACCAGGAAGGAATGATTCTGAGCAACTTTGTACAGTAGCAACATATGTACTGTACTTTGCTTTTGGGAACAGTGTGCCAAGATGCTATTCAAACATTTGACCTATATAGGAACATAAATTATAACTGGGTGTGTTTCAATTGCATGAGGGCAACATAGCTTAACAAAATCATGATCATATTACACAAATTTACTCTAATTTTCTCAAACATCTCCAGCAGTAGACAGTGGTAAAGATTATGACATTATAATATATGCATCTAATGAGCCGAGTGACAGATCTGTGTATAGCAAGATGAAAGCTGTCAACTCATGTCATATTGTGGTAAACTCACTCAACAGTTCTGCCCTACTGAAGCATTAGGATATGTCTCCAGAGGGGAGAGTATTTAATACATTTCTTATGAAAGCAGAGGGCATGGCAGAATGTCTTCAATACTGTACATCCAATGAAAGGTAGGCGAGATAATTATAACAGTAAATGGTCTCAGGTTCGGTAATTTCAGCCTATCAAATTTAAGAGGAAACATTATACAGTAGTTTACTCCAGAAAATCTTTAAAATCAACAGCCAGTGAACAAGCTTGAAACTGCATTATAAATAAGAAAGAAATGAAAATCACGTTGTCAATGCAGCAATAAATGAGATTGTATGGGAGCAATGTGCTAAGAGTGTCAGCAGAAACAAGGAAGCTGTGTGCTAAGAGTGTCAGCAGAAACAAGGAAGCTGTGTGCTAAGAGTGTCAGCAGAAACAAGGAAGCTGTGTGCTAAGAGTGTCAGCAGAAACAAGGAAGCTGTGTGCTAAGAGTGTCAGCAGAAACAAGGAAGCTGTGTGCTAAGAGTGTCAGCAGAAACATAACAGTTGAAAGAAGAATGTGTGTAAAATTACATCAAAATAGGCTATAATTTTATGGACCACTCATTTACATTGACAAATGAATGAACAAAGTAATTTTTTGTTTTGTACAGGTAAACAAGATATACAGTACAGTAATTGTATACCAGTTTTATTATGAATTGCTGAATGAAGATAACACACAAACACGGCACAGGAAAGACTCACGTGTCTAGCCAAGTACAAGACTTTGCGACACATCCCCTTGAATCTAATGCGACATGAGCTCCAATCATAGTAATAAGCCTGAAAATATAAAAAAAATTATATTTAGCACATATTCTGTAATAAAATTTTAAATGTCCTTTTCATAACTATTGCCTTACACCCTTGCAAGAAACATTATAGGTTCCTATCTCATTTCCAACTCCTACTATACTTTGTGTTAACTGTGATCATTATATTTTACTGAGCCTCTCACAAGTAACTACCCATTACATTTACAGGTACAGTTGTATGCATGCAAAACTTATATCTGCCCCCCCCCCCTCACCTCTTATACTGTACAGAACTTATCGTACCTGAACAAGTTAGAGGAGAGGGTCAGCCAGATATATTCAGTCTTACTCCTGTTATCTATTTACTGCTAGACAAACAGAAGCATCAGGTGAAAGGAAACATGCCCAATTATTTCTGTCCTGCCCAGAAGACCGAACCCAGGATCCTCAGTTGTTAGCCGAGAATGTAGACCACTGCGCTACAGGACCCAACATTGTAAATACTCCAGGCTCCTGGGTGCCAATCTGAATTGTCTTGCTATGTAGTGGCATGTATAGGTACTTGGGCAAACAAAGTCTGTTTACCATTCCTAAACTACTACTTACTTAATTATACTTCTTTCCTTTCTTTAGTCATGATGCATAATTTATTTTCCTTTGCCTGTATTTTCTGGGCAGTTTTTTAGGTTTCAATTGATCTGTGATCCCCCATGCTCTCCTCGCTTCAATGAATACACCAGATGTTTTATAGACCAGTGCTAGTCCAGAGTCCTAGTAGCATTATATGTGGCTCTGGTACCAGAGCCCAATAGACCAGGGTGATGCCACCCAGAAGATGGAATTTCATTACATTCAGTGCTTGATACTTTACCTGCTTTCTCATCTTCTCTGACACTAGCTCCCAAAATGCTCTGCGCCTCATTGTTTTGTCCACATAAGCTTGTTCATGTTCCTCATATATATCGAGTAAGGTCCTCACAGCAGGTAGACTCCATAAGGTAAAGCTTCTCCCTCCCCCATCTAAACAGGAAAATATTACGTTATTATAAACTCTTATTTCACCCTTTTAGATAAGCTTCAATTAACAATAAGAAAACAAATACAGTATTGTACTGTACTGTATTTGCATAACATCAGTCAAATTTTTTCCAACATTTCACCAGAGATAATTAGCAATGATTCCATTATTTTAATTTACTTAAGAGTGAATATATTAGGACTTTAATTAAACAGTTATTGAAATCATTTACCAGTTTCTCACACTTGTCAGCAACAAGAAATGAAGTGTTAAATATAATGAAATGCCTCTTTCCAGTAGGCCTCAGTAGCTCCCCAGGGATTATGATTGGTATAGCTAAGCCTCAAAAATTCATATCTGGATTGTACCTGGGTACAGTTTTGGAGTTTTGTTTACTCCCCAAGTCTAGCCCAGGGCCCAGCTTGACTTGTGATAGCTTGGTACAACAGGCTGTTGCTTGGAGCGGCCAACTGGCCCACATATCCACTACAGCCCAGTTGGTCCGGCATTTCTTGCAGAAAACTTTCCAGCTTTTTCTTGAAGACTTAAAATTTTGTTCTGGTAATATTTCTTATACTTTCTGGGAGAATATTAAACAACCAAGGACCAAGGAACCAAGGAACCAAGGACCTCTGATGTTCAGACAGTGTTCTCTGATTGTGCCTATGCTACCTCTACTCTTTACTAGCTCTATTCTGCATTTCCTTCAATATCATTCACTTCATTATGTTGTCATTTTACTGTACAAATTAGGAACCTGGCCCTCCAGTATTTTCCATGCACTGTATATACTGTATATGATTTGGTACATTTCTTGTCTCCTTTCAGTACATTTTGAGAGCTTAGAGATGATCCCAATAGTTTAGGTGCTTAATAGTGTCTATGCATGCTGTCTATGTTCTCTGTATTCCCTCTATTTCAGCACCCTATCCTGCTCTGAAGGGGAAAGTGAGTATCGCGTAGTACTCAAGATGAGACAGCACAAGTGATTTGAATAGTATTAGCGTTGTGACGGGATTCCTGGATTTGAAGGTTCTTGTAATCTATCCTATAATTTTTCTTGGTGATGCTATATTTGCTTGGTTATGCTTCCTAAACTTTAGGTCATTAGACATCATTACTCCCAGATCCTTTACATGTTGCTTTCCTACTACGGGCAGATTGGATTGTGTCTTGTACCCTGAATTTTGTTTAAGCTCTTTATTTTTACTTTACCTAAGTACTGTACCTGGAATTTTTCATTGTTAAACATCATGTCATTTTCTGCTGCCCAATCAAAAACTTTATTAATATCATCTTGTAGTTTTTCAATGTCTTCTAACAGAAGTAATTTTCATGTTGATTTTTAGTCTACAAAAGATGATACGAAGATGTAACTTGTATTTTTGTCTATATCTGATATGAGAGAATAAGGAAAAGCAGTGGTGCAAGTACTGTGCCTGAGGTACAAAGCTTTTCACTATGCTTGGACTATTTTATTTGATTGACTGTTACTCTTTGCATCCTGTAGGACAGAAATTTAAATATCCATCACTCTACTTTATCTGTCATTCCTAATAGCCTCAGTTTGAGGGTTATCACTCCCATGGTCATATTTATCAAATACCTTTGCAAAGTCTATGTATACCACATCTGCATTCTGTTTTTCTTCTAATGCATCAGTGATATTGTCATAGAGGTCAAGTAGCTGCAAAAGATTTTTGGCCAGATTTTCCTGTTCCATGTTGGCCTGGGTTGTGGTGGTTATTGGTCTCCATAAAACTGGAGATCTAACCAGGCCTCTGAAACAAAGACTGACCTATTGGGAGCTAGGACCAGAATCTTGTGCTCTTTTCGTGAGAGAAGTTTGGGGATCAGAAGTAATTTCAAAACTAAGAAATCTAACTAGAAATGTTAGGTAAGACAAAAAGGTACTGTACTACTTGCAAGAAATAAACATTGAGAAAAAGAAGGCAACCAATTATTACTGCGAATAAACAATCCTAACCTTAATGTACCTGGCTGTCACCAGATGGCAGCCCAGGTCATCCAGAGTTCTGGGCAGCCACCCACTTCACTCTTTCCTCAGGTATAGTCTAGGTCAGAAGACCTCTATACACCTTCCTTAACAACCAGGTACCTATTTTACTGTTGGGTTAAACAGAGGCTACAGTTAAGGATTTGCGCTCAGTAAATCTTCTCCGGCCATGATACGAACCCAGGACAAAATGATCGCGAAACATCAGGCCAGTGTCTTACCACTACACCATGGGCACTCTGCAATGTGGCCTCCAGTGACCTTGACAATGTATATCAAGGTCACTGGAAGCCATACAAGAGTATGAATCTCTATGTACCTAGAAAACTGCAATTACTAAAGAAAAAGATAACCTTGTTTTCTGCAAGAAGTATTATATCTACAAGGTAATGTAATTCCCTGACTAGCCTCACAAATTTATCTTAAAATATGCCAACAGTACTCCTACAGAATTCCAGTGCAACTAGTTTCAGTATGATATCTGTTTTCACAAAAACAATGAAGGCACTGACCTGTGTCCTCGATATCCATGATTTGATTATCTTGGTCAGTAGAAGCATAGGGATCATCTGAGCCAATTACTGTTGTTTCTACTGCATCAATATAGCTTACCTGTTGAGTTTTTATGCCAATTATAAAATGATCCTTACTGCTCCTTCAAAATTATGCAACTTATACAGGGTTTACAAAAAATAGAAAATCCAACTCTTTTGGGCTACTATAACTCAAGCATTAAATGTACTAAAATTGCCATTGCAGGTGGGCCACCAGTAGCTTCACCAGCATATACACTGGGTAACTATGCATTAAATCCCCACACCAGGCCTCCAAAATCTGTTACCTACCCAAAACTAGGACAAGAGTCTAGCTTACTCTACAAGGTGAATGGAACCTAGGAATCAGAAATCTTTTCTTCTCATAACCAGGATAACAAACAAAAACAAACAAACATAATGTACTGGCACAACAAAACATGTAACCAATTGAACGAGAAAGTGATCCCCATTAAGCAAGGCAAATGGTCGTTGCTGCGAGGGAATCACCCTAACTATGATGCACCTGACCACCATCAGGAAGTAGCTCATTTTCCCTCACTGACCTGGCTGACCTACTCCTTCATTTGGATTAAGCTTAGGCTTAGTTATCCAATTACAAGCTAAGGAATTTATTAATGTTACTCTTCTAGAAAAAAAAAAAAGTTTTAGCACAAAGCTGGGAGTAGGGTAAACCAGGGAAGGAGAGTGGCTGATACAGTGAAACCCTTGGTCGGAAAACACAAAATAGGAATGGATATAGTACCAAGAGGGATGCAGCCCCATTCCATGAGAGTGTGAAATGAAGCCATGGTAATGAAGGAAAAACTAACATTTATTAAAAGCCAAGAGTATTATCACCAATTTTATACATTTTGATCATGATGAATTTTATTTTATACTGTGGAACCAAATGCTGTTTCAATTAATTTACTGTGAATAACCACAGCATGTAAAATACTGTCAAGCATATTAAAATCACAACTGCAACAAGTTTCAACAGCTTACTGCCACATTCCCCGACTCAGAGTGATCTTCATCCACCACAGAAGTGATTTCTTCTGTTGATGCAACATCCTCGGATACAGCTTCCAGCCCTAAATAAGTGGATGAAAAAAGAAAAAAAATTATGCACATTAATTTATATTTGCTTTAAAACTACAGACACACAATATATGCTTGAAGTGCATACTGTACAATACTGTACAGTACCAATATACTGCACACAGTTTCCAGGAACACTGCCCAGGAAAAAAACCCTGGCACAAAGGCAAGGAAGAGCACCCCCAAAGGCATTTCCAGGCCTCCCCCCCTCCCTCCCTCACAGACTGAGTGACAACCAGAGAAGGCAATGCATACAAGCAGGCAGCTGTATGCAAAGCTGAAAAGCATACACACACAAGAAGTGCACCCCCCTCAACCTGGAAAATGAGAATACATCGCCATATGAGCCTGCCATTATTTTCTTGACCTAAGGTAGGCTTTTTTTTATTAATTAGATCTTGTATGATGCAACATTGTAGGAAGTTTTGTACAGGGAACAAGTTCAGCATGTGGCAGCCTGGCATCTATTTTTCAACACCAGACCTTAGACTCATTGTTGATCTTGGACATCTAGATCATTTTACAATGTACTATGTGTGTATGCATGCATCAATAAGAAGTAAGGAAATGGTACAAGGCCTATTGGCCTATAAAATGTGCCTCTCTTTATTATAGTGGATATAAATAATTGCTGCATCATAGCCCATACTAGATACCTCCTATTTTTATTCACTCAATCTCCTTCATATATGGTTCTATTGACCCATACAAGGTAGCACCTATTTATATAGTCCCAAACTTGCTCATTCAGGCTCTCGGTAGTACAGTTGAGTTCATTTTCAACTCATAATTGGGAAACACGGCTTTAAATACAGTACAGTACTATACTGGGTGAGACAAAAATGGGCCAATTCTATTTATTTCCACTTTTTCATACATTTTTCATTAAAATTAATTATTCTATAAGAAATACAGTACAGTATATATATATATTTTTGTTTTGGGCATATAGGTGGACATGCATGCAAATCAATAGCCATATATTAGGGGTAGCCTAAGTTGAAATGAGGCATGCTGTTACAGCATACCTGTGATGGAAGAAGGAAGCTGGTTAGGCTACTCGAGACCCCTCTAGCCAAGGATGAGGCTGTCTGCACCATCATCCATTCAGTTAATGACCAAGTTCAATGGTGTTTATGTTGATTTTTATTTATACTGTATATATATATATATGCAAGAGTAAGGTAAGGTTAAGTTGGAATAAAGTTAATGTATGCTAGGTAAGGTTTGACAAGTTGAAAAGGTCTTCTTTTCTGAAAATGCTCTTTTTTTTGTAGAAAAAACTACAAAACCCTAACATATTCTACCGTAATCTAACATACTCACCACTTTACCTAACACAGCATGTCCATTCTAGATGTAGGCCTATGAGTCACAATTGGGGGAAGACTTGTCATATAAGCAAATGAAGCTGTACAGTACATTGGAAATATGTGTCATGGTATACTACTGTCAGGGACATGTGTCACAGTTTACCACTGTCAGGGACATGTGTCATGGTATACTACTATCTGTGACATATCATGGTATACCACTGTCAGTGACATTTGTCATGGTATAGCTCTGTTAGGGGACATGTCATGGTATACCACTGTCAGGGGACATGTCATGGTATACCACTGTCAGGGACATGTCATGGTATACCACTGTCAGGGACATGTCATGGTATACTACTGTCAGGGACATGTCACGGTATACCACTGTCAGGGACATGTCACGGTATACCACTGTCAGGGACATGTCACGGTATACCACTGTCAGGGACATGTCATGGTATACCACTGTCAGGGACATGTCATGGTATACTACTGTCAGGGACATGTCATGGTATACTACTGTCAGGGATATATGTCATGGTATACTACTGTCAGGGATATATGTCATGGTATACTACTGTCAGGGATATATGTCATGGTATACCACTGTCAGGGACATATGGTATACCACTGTCAGGGACATGTCATGGTATACCACTATCAGGGGACATGTGTCATGGTATACCACTGTCAGGGACATGTCACGGTATACCACTGTCAGTGACATGTCATGGTATACCACTGTCAGGGGACATGTCATGGTATACCAAGTTCAAGTTCAAGTATGTTTATTGAGATAAGCAATAAATACATCTCAAAGGGATAGAGTAGCTTAGGCTATTTCTACCCCCCTCATGGTATACCACTGTCAGGGGACATATGTCATGGTATACCACTGTCAGGGGACATATGTCATGGTATACCACTGTCAGGGACATATGTCATGGTATACCACTGTCAGGGACATGTGTCATGGTATACCACTGTCAGGGGACATATGTCATGGTATACCACTGTCAGGGACATGTGTCATGGTATACCACTGTCAGGGACAAAAGGTCTGTCTGGCTTGGGGACTTAGATAAGCCTTTGACAAGGCTGTTTGTGGGATCACCCATCCAGTCTTGTCCTTAACCTGACTGACCAAGTGACACAACTGACTATAACTACGAGAGTTTAAATCTCACACAAGTTTCTATAATGCTGGAATTCTAAGTGTTAAAAACTATCTCGGGCCCATAGGTTAGCAACCATTAAAAAACATATGTTTTAGACTGTGGCTCGTTCACCATGTCTCTGTGGAGGCTCAGTTTGTTGCCCAGATAATCACGTGGAGCCTTAGAACCTTCAGCCCCATTACTCAACAATACTTTCAGCCAATTATGGTGACATTTGTGTGGGCAGCAGCGGAGGCAGGCAGCTGCCAGGTCAAAGTCTCCGCCACTAACACTCTACCACATTGAGCAAGTTGCGTAGGTTTCTCTCTAAGTGTATTTCTCTCTAAGAGAGCTTTTCCGTGTAATGTACCGCAGTTATCAACCATTGCATATGCTCTTCACATATATATATATAGGGGCGCATACCTTCCTCTTTGACTACAAAAGTGGCCACAGTCACATAGTCAGGATTTTCTCTTGAAGACATGTTGCTGCTGGGGGGTCCATAGAATTACCCAAATTGGCCCAAATCGGCCCAAAACTACACAAATCGTCCTAGCATTACGTAAGTAATGAAGAAATATGGTATATTTACTTACTATAATGTTGATGCTACACGTAGAACATGATCAAACCTATTTTTACTCTAAAATAATCTAATTTCATAACGAAATGAGACGTAAATATGTGAGAGGTGACGCCATAGGAAGTCGACGGTCCAAGCGACAATTGTATGGAGCGACTTATCCAAGATATATGGTCGCCTGGAGAGTGTTTGCTGCCATATCAGCCTCCTGTACACAGTGATCCAGTCGTCGTACATACATGTATGTATGAGTGTGTGTACATGTGTATACAACATTAATAATTTTGTAACTAGCGTCAAACACTGTTACTTGCTTAGCTAACCGAACTAGAGGGTTCAGTTCCTGAACCGATTATGTGCCTCTGTAATCCTTTACACCACCGCCCACGGGATGGGTATGGGGTGCATAATAAAGAAAGAAATAGAAGAAATTGAAATTGCATAATACGGTTATTGACATTCAATAATAGTAAGATAAGTTTTGATATTAAGTTTTTAAGTAAGATAAGTTAAGATAAGTTTTAAGTAAGACAGTTTTGATATTCCTAGAGTACGACTTAATCAAACTAGAAATGCTCTACAAATCAAGGGGACCAGAATGTGGAATGACCTTCCCAACCATGTTAAAGACTGTACCTCTCTCAACCAGTTTAAGTTAAAAACGAAGCTATACCTAATAAATTCCCTGTAACCTACCTTACCCTTCTATTGTTAACCAATTTCTGTTTTTTTTTTTTAAGAGCGCTGTTTGTGGACATAATTGTATTTGTACTGCTTTTTCATCTATGTTTTCATTTCTTATTTTCATTCTACTCATTATCCTCAATTAGTATTAAGCTTGTCATTTAAGTTTATCATGCCCGAAACGCTTTGCGTAATAGTGACTTTAGGCATTGTATGTACTAGCTCTACCTATATTGAAATTGAATTGAAATTGAAATAAGTTTATTGAGGTAAAATACACACAAAGGGATGAGGTAGCTCAAGCTAAGCTCTACCTATAAGTCAACCAATCTTTGTAAAAATTTATTGTATGTATGTACCTTACCTAAATAAACATTTTATTTTATTTTTTTTTATTTTATAAATCAATGAGGACCAAATGGGAGATCAGTGATCAGATGAATATTACAGACTCAAGAGTAGCCTTCTCTTCTTGTATATAAATGAAAAAAATAAATATGTTTGTTTAATTCTAATGCTTGTAGGCGAGAACAGGTGTGAACGCCAGCTAGCGCACAAGTACATGAGCGCCCAAAATACTTTTACACAAAAGACATGTACAGACAGGCGTGTGGCTTCTGACTTCTTTTTTATTGATTAATATTAAATATTAGTCGCTTACCTATAATAGTTATCATTTTATGCAAGTATAACTATCACATAATAAATATAAAAGGAGTTTATCAAAAAACTGACAGAAGTGTTGTGTTTTGTGCGTTGTATCGTGTTTGTGGGCATTCGGGTGTGTTGTGTTTACGCTGGCGGGCGGCGTCCTTACCAACTCCGGATTATGTCTATTACATCACTAAACTTCATTTAATAACTATATGCCTGTTAAATAGAAGATTTTAATTGTTAATAGCATTATATTGTCGTTTTAATATGGAACACGTACACATATGCGAAACGTCTAAAGCTGGTGTCCGAAGTGGTAAAAATATTAGTGTGCGATGTTGTCAATGTACGGAGTGTCTTGTATCCGAGTCCATAGGAATTACCGTTTGTCCTGGCGCCATCTATGTTTTGACAGCAGTACTACTAATGTTCCCACGTTATGTAATGATCGCTATACGGGGTGTTACGGTCAGTTGCTCTTCTATATATGTTTATGGACAACGTAGGTGATTTGAGGCAATTTGCGGCCAGAGTGAAATAGTATCCACGCGGTGAGTGATGGAGGAGGATATATACTGCTGTGTACTCGACCAGCGGGTGAGAGGCAAGTTATATCCAACAATTATGGGGAATAGATGGGTTATTTTAAGCGTAGAATGTCAGGTAACCGGTAACTACACAGATGGGGTAGTGTTTTTTTAAGTCTTTATTTACTAAAGTGGAACATTACATTATGCCTTTAGCTGAACAAGTCTACTGGTGGGGGAAGTAGACGGGTTTTATGAAAGTATTTTACCTAAATATTTGTATTTGGTTAACTAGTTTAGCCGTTACCAGGGAGGGTGTTCCTTTAATCTAATCTAAAAATTCTAGCCGGACAAAGTAATTAAAGAAATTGAATAGAACGAAGTGGTTTGCCATGGTGCTTATCATTTAGTTAATTCACTTAATTTAGTTAATTATGTCTGGTAAAGGCCGGTCGTGGAAAGTTCCTAATATAGCAAGTTTTAAAGGAAAAGTTTGAGTTAACTTTAACGCTAAAGTTAGTGACCAATTAGCTTAGTCTATTGTGAGGAAAGTTACTAGAATCTAACATTGCAAGTGCCATTTCTCTACTCTTTGAGAAACATGACTAGATACATGAATCGCATAGTTTTATTACTAAATGTTCATGGATTAGGTTGCATAGTTGAGGAAATAGTGGTAAGGTTTGTGATTTTGTGTACCTTGACTTCAGCAGATATTTTGATAGTGGCGCAAAATTGATAAGGGCTCGGATCATTGGGAATGCTGACTGAAGTTGATTAGGTCGTGGCTATACCAAAGGAAATTAGTATAAATGGGGTTAAGTTGGGAGAAGTGTTGTAAGTAGTGCCTAAAAGCTCTCCTTGGACCTCGGTTAGCAAGATTATGGTTTAGACTGAAATAGTTGCAGAATTGGCAAATAAAAAATACCGATGCCCTATATAGTTTTGAAATGGTTAAGACTACCAGATGCAGTTTAATGCTGACAAATGTAAGGTTTGAGGGCTAGGTAAAGATGGGATAGATGGTGTAGATTAAGAGTATTAAATTTTTTGCAGGTGGTAAATTGTCCCTGAGCTGGCACTGCTCTCCAGCCTGGGATGTTGATTGGTTAGTCTTCAACTGCCTCCCAACATGGTAGCGAGGTCCTGAGCTGACATGCAGTGAGGAACGTGGAAAGCTTCCTGAATTGGCACATGGTATGCCTCCCTTTCAAACCAGCAGCTGGCACATGTTCCAGCTAACATCAGAATAGTGGATGAAGCCCACACTAAAATGTAAGTGGTACAGTAAATGGACACCCCCCCCCCCTCTTGACACCGAACAGTTGGGAGGAAGGGGAGAAAGTGTGGCTTATAATTCTATTGCTACAGAATCTTTTGCCATAAGCCAGTGGCAGTGCCTATTGGCACTTGTTATTCAGAATCTCCCCCTTACATAGTTAATTAAAAAAGAAATGCTGTAGACAAGCTTAACTTTTGAAGGGGGCAACATTTTCGTTGCCATCAAAGCACATCAAAGATGCTCTGAGCTAACTTCCCCTAGTCATTAGTGAATGGTGGCCAGTAACTCTGCCATTAGAATCCATGCAGAAAGTGTGCACTTATGCTGTATCTGCCAGTTTGCTAGAAATTGAAATTGGCATACTTGCTCAGCAACTACTTGCCCTCTTGTACCATGTTACTCAACCATAACATAACCACCACACCACCCATTCTTCTAAAATAACATCCTGTATGATAAAAACTTCTGCTTTAAATATTTCTAATTCTAATATTAGTTGGCTTGCATGGTGTATTAATCATTCCTTTGGCAGAACTGTAGCTAAATTGTTCCCACAACATTTAATCCGTTAACAGTACTGTATCAGGTTCATAAGAAATTTATAATAAAGACCAAGTGTGGTCATGAGTGCTGCAGATGAGGGAGATAGAACCTTACACCTGCAGAAGTGTGGTGATAACTGGAGAGAATATGGCCTTGTATAGTTGCTAGTGTAAAAATATTACTAAATTTAGTAAAATCACATTGTCTTGGTAGTATAGTTGGGTTAATTATGAATTTTCAGACTAAAATGCTTGGTACATAATTACAGAATAAATTTGTCCCCCTAGTAGTAAGCAGTGGTTGCAAAAGAATAAGAATTTGTATATATAAATTTTGTATTGCTTTTATTCAAATGTTATACATGGTTAAATTAGTTTTTGCAATGTTCCAGAAAAATGTTCATGACTAAAGTTGTTGGAAAATAAAATTTGTATAGGATGTTGACTTGAAATGACTATAGCTTTGTTTCTTTAATAAAATGGGACAACAAGATAGTTAGTGTGCCATTTAAAACGGCAACTGTTAAACTAGTGGTACAGGTATGAACAAAATAACATTGCTATGCAAATAACTTTTTAGTAATATTTGCTGTTCACATGACAGATTGTGGAAGGTCCTGGCAACAGAGCTGCAGAAAAATACTTGCAGATCTACAGTAAGTAGTGTTGTGTACATTGGAATTAGAGGGTAGAAGTTAATTGCTAAAAACCTATTAAATATTAGGGTATGGAAGTCTAGGCTTAGGCTAGTGGGTACCATATCTGCAAGTTTAGTCCTTTCAGAAATGTATTGAATAGAATGGTATGTTGAAATTGTGAAAATTGTAATGTGGGGCATTAGATCTTAAACAGCATAGTTGAGGGTGTTTTATTAATAAAATTTTAATGAAATATAAATCTTGTTTAGTTAACATTAAATGTTTGTTAAATAAGCTTTAATCATCTATAAATGTATAACACTGTTAAGGGTAATAATGAGTCAAATAAAGTTAATGGCAGGAAAAGTTTTGTTCTAAGTGATTGTATTTTTCCCTTGAAAGTAAAAAAAAATATTCAATGTTTACTTTAGCTTGGTTTTAAATTTATATAGTTTTCCAGAATGTGGAAATATTTATATTGCTAAATTAGATTCTTACTACTGCTACTAGAATATGTAGGAAAGGTAAATTCCTTAAAGAAATTTTTTCCATCTGAATTTGTAAACTACTGAATGCTAATTTGAAAAGTAAAGGAAGATTGGCTTTAAATCTGAAATTAATTTGTTGAAATA